TGACGCGAGGCCGCTTGAGCAGAAAGGAACGCTCATTCTCTCCAACAAAGGGAGAATGTGGGCGAAGGATTTGGCACATTGAACACTAAAGTATGGAAGAGCACTTCGACCCGCCGCGCTCACTAACTCACTACCTCAGAGGCACTCAGCTCAGTGACAATGTGGTGGAGTCATTACTTCAGGTCTCTCAGGTACAGAACTCAGTGTGACGAGGGACGTGACCTCTGTTGGATTCACTGAACGGAGACACAGCAGCGGGTTTATGGAGGACCGCGGGGATCACAGTCGACTTAATAGTTCACAGAAGAATTCTTCAGGATAAAGAAACCATTTTTTTTCCCCTGCACGCTCCACTGCTGCTGAACTTGCCACTTTCAACTTTCGTTAAAGGAGTGAGTGGAGAGAGTTATCGTGATAGCCCGTGTTGACTCGAGTTTTCCAGTTAAGGAAATGCTCAAATTGTGGCACTTTGTTTAAGTGGAACATTTCTTGTAGCCGCCCCGTACCAGGTTCCTGTCAGCTCTTGTCTGCTGCCTGCTCTCTAACTCAATCATAGCTTTAACCATTTTTTTTCTCCCTCATTTTTTCTCACAAAATATGAAACCAGTAAAAGAAATTGTGATTTGTTCAGTTGTCAAGTGCACAGTGCCCCTGTTTTCTCAGCGTCCATAACATCCAGCCTCTCTACCTCCCTCCATCTCGCCATCAGCCTGCAGTGTTCTGGCCAGCACGTAATCATCTAAGTGCTTCTGGATGGCAGCGGGCTATTTGGTCATTAAAGGGCCTATTAAGTCATTAGTGCAACAGTGAGACTGCCGTCCGCCTGCCGACAGGACCAGATGATCGGCCTGATACGTGTTGCCTCGCAGTTTTCCACATATTTGCGCAGGTAATTACAGCTTAGATGTGAAACACCCTCAGATGTCATGCTTAAAGAGGGGGATACATGTCGCCAGCACACTTTAAAGGTAATCCTCCTCCTCCTCCTCTTTTTCCAGTTGGCGTGTGTGCAGATGAGCAATGGGACGACCAGAAGCCTCGGGACATGTCAGAGAGAAAGATAGGGAGCGAGAAGGAGTGGGAAGGTCAGAGAAAAGAAGAGCAGAGAGCAGACAAAGAGTTGCTTTTTCCATCAGTTCAGCCTCTGTGGCCAACACATCGCTTCAAAACCCAAACTTGCACACCCGTCACGGAATGTAAATATTTGGATATGGGTAAGGTTGGACGTTACTTAATTCCTCCCTTTAAAGATGTCCTGTTTAGGTGAACACGGTCCAAAGAACACAACGCAAAGTATTCTGCATGATTTGATGCGACACATGAGAATCTTATTTTGATTTCAGCGCTGATGTTACTCTTAGCAACCCTCGCCCCGGCCGGGAGACATTCCCTACGCTGGGCTCACGATATTAAACTCACCGCTTACCATAAATGCCCATCAAATAAGTGGCATGTACAGCCAGAAACCTCTGGATGTATACGGAGAAAGACGTTTCTCCTGGATATGTGCTGTGTTTTACTTACTTTTTAAATCATTTTCAAATATGATTTGTATCCTAAGGCCATATACTTTGTGAGGTCCACTCTGAATTGGAAAACCAAACACCGATGCGAATCACATTGAATATCATATAAAGTAATAGCGACTTATGGGAAACACAGACCGTGTGGGTCTGAACACAGTTAAAGGGAATGTCTCTGGCCCAGACAGACAGAGGTTTCACTTTATGACCACTGTGTGTAAATTCAGTGGTTGCTATCCTAGCACCATGCTCTTTTCATTATCTTTTCACATATCTGTGGAAAAACTGAATTTTAATCACATTTTATATTAATTTACCACAAAGAAATACACTGTTGTGATGTTTTAGCCACATCTCCAGGCCTGAGAGTGTGACCAAAGCATGTGTGGTGAGGCTGCAGTGTCAGCGCAGCAGAAAGCCTCAGCTTGACAGCGGAGGTTAACTGATTGAAATAGACATGTTAGGTTGTCACTGAAGCTGTAAACAGAGGACGCCCTCCTGCTGAGAGGGAACTGGATTCTGTCAAACATCCACCCTCCCATCCCTTAAAAACTTAACCCGCTCCCCTCTCCAGCCGTGGGGTGACAAAACCGGGGTGTACCGTTGTCAGCCATCTCTCTCTCTCTCTCTTACTCACACACACAGTTGCACAAATCATGGCACAAAATAGCCTGAGCTGATGGAAAGTCATCCTGTTGAGAGGTTGGGCCAGGTATTCTATGAGATCGGGCGCTGCCTGCCTGCTCAGCAGTGGCCAGACTGACCCCCAGCAGACTGCCAGTCTCCTTACCGCTCTGCTGCTCCGCGGCTCCACTACCACCTCCCGCCGTGACCCATGACCCCTGCCCAGGAGACAGGCGCCACTGATATGATGTAATTTCTCTACGACATGGGCCAGTGGCCTCGGCTGCAACGCGACCCAGGGAAAATAAATACGGGTGTTTATTTGGTGGGAGTGAGAGAGGCCCACAGGCTGGAGCCGCCCTCGAGTTTCCCAAAAGCAACTTTGCACCAGAGCAGTTTCTGTTCCACATCTTAACACCAATAACATACAAATAAGACTTTGGGGTTTGGTACCGTGCATTGTACCATTGTGACTGAGACTGTTGATGTACTCAATATCAGAAGATGTAAATGCACCTTTCATCTTCTGATTCCTTATTATTTGTATTTATGTAGATACATAAGCCATGATGGTAATTCATTGATCGGCCCTTGAGTGAAGCGGCTGTAAAGGAGTCACCTCCTGCTGCTGTGATTTTGCAGCTCGTACCCTCTGAGTCGACTATGCTTTCTCCAGCCGTTCCCACTCGCTGCTCAAAGCATTCACAGAGACAACGGTGCCGGCCGGCCGGCCCAGCTGTCAATCTGCGTGATGCCCGCTCCACCTCCTCCCATCCCGCAGAGAGTGAGGTCACAGGTCCACCCCGGCAACAGCTAACCTGTAGACCTGGACCAGTGCCTCAAGACCACCCGTCTACCATGGCGCTTGGGACCAGGTGCCTATGAGAAACCTACAATTTGTCAGATGATGAATCACCGGCGCTTATGTTTCTAAGAGTCCCTTGTCGGAGTCAAAGTTACACGATATTGTAAGCAACTACTTTTATTGGGAACAAATAATATGTGGGCTGTCAGGGTTTAGAACATTTCCCAACTCAGATCTCCCTTTGAGCATTGCTCATGTTTCAGATTGGCGTTAGCGGTGAGATGATGCACAATCAGTCTCCGCTGCCTTTACACTTTCTTCTTTCCTCCAGTCAGTCTCTATCTCAGCCTTTCTCTCTCTGTGTCTCACTTCTCTTTCTTCTGTCTCCCACCCACGCATTTTCTCTTCGACCCTTCCTCTATTCATCCTTCTGACCTCATCCTTGTTACAGTCGAGCGTAGAGGGAATCAATCAACCACAGTGTTCAGATTAAATCACAAATTATTATAATTGAGAATAATGGTTGCCATGTCAGCTTCAGTTCAGCTCCGAATTGTTCTCATACATATCTGGAAACGAGGGGGTTAGAAGCTCGGAAATCCAACGGCCCTTGTGCTCTGGTGTTATCCATGAGCCAATTTTGACTGGATTTCCATGGCAATAAAACTCTAGTCTGAATTTGAACACCTGTCTTGTAAAACTGTTACCATCCCTTGTGAATGCAGTGCCTGTTATTTTCCCTGAAGATCAATAGATTACGCTTCTTATAGTCGAATGGAAGTTCTCAGGGAACATAAACACAGCTTTCTAAAGTTGGACACTGTTCTGCTACTCAACCCTGTTAGGATGTTATTTAAAACTGTGTTGTTTTTAGGGGCAACTGCCGTGCCCGCGCCACAATAAATACAGATCAGTGTCAAGGACTGAGACTTCTCTATAGAGGAAAAAAGACAGGAGACATGAATCCCTTTAAGATAACAGGAAAACATGTCTGCGGGACATAACAGACTACAGATTGCAAAGCCCTCCTAACGTCTATAGCATGTCTCCTCTTTATTACTGTGAGACACAGTGTGCCTCGCTGAGCTTATTTCTAGGGGCAGTAAAGCTCCCAGGCATGTGCGGGGCATGCAGCGGGACTTTGACAGCGTAGTTAGGAGGTGATGATGAAAGAGGAGAGGCTGGGAGCCCACTGCCTCTCAAATTAGCCCCGGAGCCCTCAGACCTGTCACATGGAGGCTAAGCCACCGCCAATGTGCATGTATGGAGCTTTGCATGCGTACAGCGTGCCTTCGTGTGCGGTGTGCCGCGCATACACTGCACATGTGCGTGATTGGGAGTGCTGCATGAATACACATACCGAGATGTTTTTTTTCGTCTTTAATTTAGATCAAATGTTTCATCAGTGAAATCACATGAATTAGAACGGAGCATCCTCTGGGTGCTGTTGAGGCTCTTCGCAGATTTCCGTGGGACCTCCCACAGTTGGAAAAACGGTCTCCAGCTTAGGTGACCTCCAACTGACTAATTATATAAATAGATGCATGTTCCCTTCATGTATTTATCATCAGACAAGATATTGAGGTCGGCTGTTTTGCTCATCAAGTAATACGACTATTTTGTTCATCTTTCAGTCTCCGATTACAGTGCGAGCCCCACAATGCTGCAGAGAGCCAGACAGACAGTCTGCATTAATGAAAGAGAGCTCTCTGCTCTTCTCACCTTCTGTAATCCGTTCTGCATGTGCATTGCTCAGCCTGACACCCTCTCTGTACATTCAGCTGTTGAGTGTTTGTTTAGTGAGGTGGATGGACATCAATAACCGTAAAGCTGTCTCCAGCAGAAAGGTTTTGATCACTTTTCTTTCTCCTTATATTGTTTTCTTCCACATTTTCTAGAGCTCAGCCTGCTTTACTACAAGCAGAATAAATGTTACATTTACTTGTGCCTTGTCTAGGCTGGGCTTGTTCTTGCAATTTCTCCTGCTATTCCTCAGGGAATCAAATGCAAAAATGAGAATATAAACAAGCGTTCATTCCTCCTCTTACCTGAGAGAAGTTCAGCCCATTGAGGGGGTGACACTGCTCCTCCACCCGCTCCACCGCCCCCGTTGCTTTTCCCATCCTCTCTGCCTCTTGAGCCAAGAACAGATCCAGCACAGGCGTCCCCCTGGACCGAACGTCCCACTCCGTCAACGAGTTCACCATCAGCATCACCCAAACCGGCCTTTTCCTCTCCCAGTTCCCCGCAATGGCGTTGAACAGGTAGTCAGCATACAGGCCGCGGCCGCGCTGGTCAGCGGTCATCCAGTAAGGCATCATGTGTTTGACGTAGTCCAGGTGGCGTTTGAGACGGCGGTACAGGTCTCGAGGTAGCAGCGTCTGCAGGTTTTCCCCGTGGGGCAGCAGCTGGCAGCTGGTCAGCTTGGAGATGGTCAGAGGGTCGGTCAGGTCCAGCTCAAAGAACACATTGCGGCTGTTGTAGAAGGCCTGCTTGGATCTGTCGGGGATGAAGTCCCAGACTCGTGTATAGGGCACGTGGATGGTACCAAATAAGTAAGAAGGTGGGTGAGGAGGCGCACGGTTCACTCTCCACAGGAAAGAGTTCATGTCACTTTGCTGTGGAGGAGGCAGAGGAAAGAAAAAATAAAAGGAGGTAACGATTTTGAGAGCAAAAGGAAATACCAGAACCATCATTTAGAGAAATTCAACTAAAGCGGACACATTTTTCCTCTGTTGTGGTTTACTGGCTCACAGGGTCGGGTCAACAAGTTAAAGATTGAAAAACAGTTTTGAGATGACAGCAGCCAGGGGAGGTATGAAGTCGAGTCAGCTCGGAGTTTGCTGCTGTGGTGCGGGCCGGAGGTTTATAGAGGGGCCTTCTGCGCTGTGAACAGACCCCCGTGTATTGTTTAGGTGCATACCTCGGTTGCCAAAGCTTCTTTCGGGCTGGGAAGCATTTTGAAGGCTGCAGTGCAAATACACATGCACTGGAGCTCATAAAAGCCAAAAAGCTGAAAGAAACCTGCTCTCCGTTCTGACCCCACTGTGATACTTTTATTTGTGAAATGTTCAGTGAGACCTGGTGCTGACAGCCTCAAGTACGGCACTGTTTTTGTCCTCTACGATATATATTACAGGAAGTGTTTGTCTGGTGCGGTTATCTTAATACAGAACAATGTCACAATGGAAATGAAATAATCACAGCCATTCTAAATGAGCGTGAGGGCCGCATAGCGTTTAAAATATGTTTCTTGTTAAGTGCTCTGCAGATGTGCTGTGCATGTGTTATGACTTTGATGTTGGCATTACTCAAATATGAAAAAAGAATTAACTTCTATAAACAATATCAAACTCCTGGCTTCTGAGACACAGTGTAATCAGGCATTTGAGGGATGAAACCCATTAGCGTAAAATAAAGTTATTCTTAGAAAATGTTTACTTCTCAAATTTAATCAAGATTTCCTTCAACATGGGTTCCAATTATACTGCAGGCTGCCAACGTTGCCTTTGTCAAATACAACGTTTCAAATTGCTGCCAAAAGCCAGTGTCCTCCTCATGTGGGATGTTCAGCTATCTTTATAATTAACGACAATGAACTTGTAATTTGTGGCGCAATCTCTCTCTACATAAAACAAATCAAAAGTGCAACATTTAATTTCAGAGCAGCGTTTCCTCTTTGCAGACACACTTAAATGTCTGAACAGTTTGTTTCTAACTTAATTCCCACATTGGCAGGGAGCAGTACACGCTGCTTTAGATGCGGCATAAGACGCATTAGTGTATTTTCCGGCGTATTTCTGAGACGCGAAAGAGCAGAGCTTCTTTTTTGTGTGTGCATGTGCAGCATTGTGTCATCCGTTAACTTGCACGTGTGCGCAAAGGCCTATAGGCCTACCCCCAGAAAAGAAGACCTCTCGACGTGGAAAGTGTGGTCGTGTCCAGAGGAGAGGCGAGATCCCCACTTCTGCTAAAGCTGCGTGGACGTTTCTGGAGAGCCTTGACGCGCAAGGGCTCCTTTTTATGGGGGTAATTACTCTTAACAGAAAACAGAGACCACTGCACTGACGCATTACAAATCACATGAAGCGAAGGAGCACGAAGTCTTCAGTGATCTCTGACAACAGATCCATTATCCGCCTGTAGGATATAATGCACGAATGAAACAACAGCCTTGTGCCCGTGCGCACAAGTGTCATAATTTAAAAACGTGCCTGTTGCTGAGGTCGATTTTTTTTAACCCCAGAAGGCAAACGTGTTGGATGTCATGATTTTAAAAAACTTTCCCCCTTTCATGCAGAGGATGCATTCACGGTGGGATGCAGACGGACACATGAACTGAGCTGGAGTATGGCCGGCTGCTCCGCGCTGCTGCACTTCCTCGCGGTAAAGAGTTCAAGCCACTTCCATAATTTTACCAATATGCGCAGATAAGTGTTTTAATAAGGCCTCGTGCGTTGCGCTGAAACACGATCACTCCTGAAAGGTCAGTGAAACTTTTCCAAATTAAGTAAAGTCAGCAGTGGGTGTTCCCTTCTTGCGTTTGTCACATAAACAGCCATAAAGTTGGCGAGCTTTAACAATTTCTCTTGGCAACTGCTTTCAATTCTGAGGCCCGCGTCTCTTCTTGGAAGTGATTTTATGAGCCAGTTCTGAAATACCTGAATTTCTTCACATGTCTGAAGACAAGGCTGCAGTGTTTGATCACTGCACAATAATAATATTAGTATAGAAAATCCATTATTATTATTCATATTATTATAGGCTATACATTCTACACAACCATTTTCACTAATAATGCAACTAAAACTTATAATTTCATCTTGGCTTATAATAAAAAGTATATTCAAATGTGTAAAAGGTCGTAACCTTTGGCCTCATTGTAGAGCATAATTATGATAAATGTTTTGAGATTGTGCCATCCTGTCGTAAAGTTCCCCTCCAAAATGAACACATTGCTGAAAGTGCGTTTCACTATTATTCTCCAACTGCAAGTTTTCAAGAAACAACACTTTAGGATGTCGACAACAAGTGTGAGTATCTTAACTTTCTGGAGAACAGAGAGGTAGAATGATACAATTAAATGATAAGTCCCCCCAACAACACGACTCACCGACTTTGGTGCGTCGCACTGCCGCGGTCTCTCCGGTCGGTGTGCGCCCCAGGGTGCCGCAGTGTGCAGCAGAGCGCTCAGGAAGACCAAGCTGAATCCCGACAGACAGACCATCGTGTCGAGGTTTTATGACACTCTTGACAAGTCAGCCCTCAGATGTCCACTTTACGCTCTCTTCTCACTGCCCTTTTTCCCGTCTCTCCTCTGAAATAAAAAAAAAAAGAAACCGTTACCGGTGGCCCCTCGGCTCACATGTGCCGCGCCGCTGGAGGACCATTCCCGACGCTCTCTGCGGCTGAGTTTAGTTTTTCCTGTCTGAAACTTTTTCTGACTCCTCTTTTTTAAAAACTCGGTGCAGAGCTGAAGCGGGAGCTGCTGAAAACTCTTTGGAGAGTTTGCGCAGTGCGCTCTGCAAGTTAGGAGCGTCTTGACTGGAAGAGAGGGAGGTGGGACGACTCGAGTACCCCCTACCCCATCCCAATATACACACACACACACACACACACACACACACACACACACACACACACACGCACACACACTCCCCTGCTTCTTTTAAGAGGAGGGAGCGCAGGTTCAGAGAGGGATGACAGGTTTGCGTGTGTAAAACCCCACAAAACAGACCCGAAAAGAGTGCAGAGTGGTGGATGAATGTTCTTCTAACGTCCTGCACTGTGAGTTTGGACATTGCCTCATTCACCGTGGTCGTTTTCCTGTCTTATGGTATCACTATATAGTATTTCATATTGTAGGCTAATGTCCGATACTCAATAGGGAGTTTATATAGTTTCTTAGTATTTTTTAAATTATTCTCAGTTTATTTAAACAAATTAAGAAATGAATTGTTACTAAACTTGTTTAGCTTGATGACATGCATTTTATATACTGCAGTTCCTGTGTTATTTGTTGAACTCTTGCAGCTTCAAGATGTTTAAAATTATATTTATAATTAGACAAACAAAACAAACCTTTTCAGCCTCATCTCTTTCAGAGTTGAACTGGATTTCTGTAGCTCTTTAAAGAAAACTGTGACCAATAACGCAGAGCGTGTATATGGCATACACAGTGCTGGCAGCCCACGGGTTTGTTTTATTTGGTTTTCAACAGAGTCATTCCAAAGAGGTAAATAAGCAGTATTTCACATGTTGTCATGTGCTTCCTCTCCAGGAGGATTACATTTATCTCTGTCCTTCTCTGTTTGACAACCCTGCAGCCTTACATGTGTCTTACTGCTTAAATTCATGATTAATGGCCACAAATAAACGGGTCCAAGTAAAGACAACTGTGAGAAGTGTTATATTTATTTTCAGTCCAGCGCTCTTCTTAAGCTGTATCAGTCATGATGTGGAGCAGGCGGATTTGAAATAAACGCTCGCGTCGAGGGAAAGTGCCCCCCCCCCCCCCCATCTGTGCAGGCCGCGATGTCAACGCTCCACTACTCTGCTGTGACCTCAGTTATTGTCCAAGTGGCAGACAGTGTGACAGAGTCAAGTAGTGGGAAATTTATCACGGAGACCCCTCAAACAAGTGGCACCGGGCCCCTCCCTGCAGGCCGGGTGGCAGACAGACCTCGGACAAGCAGCTCTTTGTCCTCGGCCGTGTTCTCCACTCCTCTTCTCACCACTCCGTGCTCACTTGTGTTACTGGGCAGCTTTGTTAGTGGCCGACCGTCCCTGTACGCTCATTGTATTGTCCGTTCAGATGAGGGATTGGGCGTTTCTGCTAAGTGTCTTTGATCCGCGTGTCTTTTAACACAGTTTCACGTTGTAAAACTGCGACACTTCTGCCCTTTGACCCTTTGAGTTCTTTTATTGGGCGCCATTCATCAAGCGCTGCGAATCTGAAAGGCTGAAGAGTCAATATTTCTTTGTTTTACACATCTGCACTATGGACGACTTGAATGCAGCCTCAGAGGTTTTTAGATGTGTGAAAGCGGCATATAACAGGAATAACACGACACAGCCACGTGGATCTAATCACATCTTTTCATCCCTCGCTGCTCTGTTTCTTCTCCTTGCACCGAGACAGGTGTGGGATTTCAGTTAGCGGTTTCGTCTCCTCTAATATGGCCACCTGTGGACTCAGGTACTTGCTTTAACCATACCTTGCAGTGGGCTTCTCTTTGAAGGAGCTTTTCCACATTCTTGGCCGGTTAGAAGTGGGCTTATGAGCGGCTGGCTGCAGGAGATTCCTGGCCGTGGGCCAGTGCTTACAGCTTAGTGCACGTATAGCTGGGGACGAAAGAAGACTTTAAAGTTAATGTTCTGTTAGCGGACCGCAGTAACGCACATCTGGGGAGGCGTTATATGGAGAAGTTGAGAGAAAAAGAGCCCATTCCGATCTAAAGGTATTTTCAAAATGTTAAAGTATATCTGCAACTGAACCCTGATGATACTTGTGCTTTCCAACACTTTTATTGTCTTTTGCGTATACTGAGTGTGTCCGTTATTGTACCCCAGATGTGAGGTATAGGGAGTAGGAAAAGAGAGAGTGAAGAGACCTTGTTAATGTTTGTGGCCCTGCAGCACTAAGGATCCTGTGTCTACTTGTCCTTGTGGCTCCGCGTCTGTCTGTCTGATGTTGTGCAGAAGTCCTGCCACAAAACCCCAACATTAACTCCCTGCCTCGGCATCATTACTTGTCTATTGGTCTGTAATGATAGAGGTGCTACTTCTATTACTACCACTGCTACACTACTACTACACCACATGAAGAGGAAATGTGAAACGACTACAGAGATAGCGGTAACTGAGGCTGGAAGTGTGTGCAAACTCTTTTGTTTATTATGCACACAGGGACCCCTAGTGGTGTGAGGAAGAATGAGCATTATGCACAGTGTGGACAAAGGTAAGGACACAAGAGAGATGGTTAACCCGGGGGCAGAAAGATAGCGCTTCAAAGAAAATGTGGGTTTAATGGATATGAAGGAGTGGCTCATAGCTTCAGGCAGCCATACCTCAGAGACTGGCTGTCCACACTGAATGCTCTCTGTCTCTGTCTGTTGTCTCTGCTCTCAGATGGACTACAGACACACACTCCCTCGCTATCTCCACCCGTCTCTCGCTCGGGGTCCAATATCCTCTGTCACGCATTGAAGATGTCTAGGAATAATATTGACTGAGTCTCCGGTGAAATGTTATTGTGGTTTCCCTTTCCGGACGTCCCACGGAAAGGGGCGGGACAGGAGGTGGTTGAGAGGGAGAAGGGTAATGTTAGGGGTTGGGATATGTCAAAGAATGTCAGAAGGGGGTCTATGAGTCTGTTTAAGCCCGGTCACATGACACAGGTAGAGATAAGTCGGAGAAAGCTAAATCGCCCAGAGTCTGAATCTCTTCCCCGATGATTGGTTTGTGTCTGAGGCTTTCACCGAGTGTTTGTGGAAGAAGTACACACTGATTTAGACGGTGTTTAGTGGCAACAGGTCTGCAGGTTTGCATTAAGATGTTTTCTCTGCAGTGACGTCCCCTGTGGCGTGTCAACACACGCAGTGGATGGCTATCTGTCTATCTCCATCATCCAGAATGAGCAAAAGCAGGAGGGGAAAGATGAGAGGAGGCGATATGGTGACAGGGGTCATGGTCAGGGCTGGTTTTCTGGAAGCAATGTCTCGTATGTTTCTTTTTTCTTCTGTCATTGTTTTAGGGTGATGTAAGGAAAGCGGAACATGAATCAGAGTTATTACTGGGTATTATTCACAGTGAGTGATGAAAGTAGTTCCGTTTAGATCAGAGGCAGTTATGAATCCAGGTTTGATCGGGCACTTTATCATTTTAGTGGGAAATGGCAACTTAAACAATAAGCCAATGAGCACAGCTTCATCTAGCAGTTCTTGTTGTTCACATTATATCCCCATCACCTCCTTACTGTGGACTGCATGCATGACATAACAGCTATAGTGATGATGATGATGATGAAGTGTGTGGGACTGCCATATTAAATCTCAAACCAGTGTTTCCTGAAGCCGTGCATGCTTTTTTTTTGTATCAACAGAATGTATGTCTGTAATTCAGCAGTGTTGGCACCAAACAGATCATGTGTGTTGCAGAGCTGTAGATACACAGACAGATGACAGGTGTTGTTTGTCCTGAGATTTTAGTCCAACATACACTTTCCATCATATTATTCACTTGCTTTCTCTTTCTGCACAAACACACACATTCCTACTGACTCTCCTCGCAGAGAGCCATGTCTTATATTTATTCTCTAGAGCTTATAATGCTCTCACATCAAAGTCACCCCATGATGCACTGTGTTCTCTCCCGCTGATCATTGTGAGTAACTGTATTATCCATATCGGGAACCCCCTGTTATCTTCCCTCCCATTTAGCCCTGAGAGGCAAAGCAGGAGAGGTGGAGGAGTGAAAAGACCCCCCCCCCCCTGCTGCTAAGCAGAGCTACCTTTTGGCTACTCGAATGGTGAAAGAATAAGATATGGAGAAATAATCATGTTTCCCCTCTTGTCATTTCAACAGCCATTGGGATGCTGCAGCAAATCTCAGCACTGGACAATAGATGTATTCATATCATAATATTATGGAAATATGATATATATATATATATATAGCTAATGTTGGTCCGTATAATACTTTTGGTGTTCATTGTCAATCTCCTGTTTGTGGTTTATCCAAGCAGGGGATCAACAGAGGCGTCCAGTGCAAAAACAAGGCACTTGGCTGTGATGGGGAACACAGTGTAAACAGCATGTGTTATGATACCATTAAATCAAAACCTCTGGTCTGCACTGATGTGAAGGAACCACACATGAAGGATCAGATGAGCTCTTCCTTAAATCGAGAATAATCTGGATTTGGACATGACCTTCTTTTGAAGATGGCCATTTGCTCTAATGAGGTTCTTTGAAGATGAACTTATTGCCCAAACAGCTTTTATGCAACATGTATAGTAAATTCGTGGCATCAAAGCTCGTCTCGGTATAAAGATATCATGCTTAAAGATCAACAGAGATTTAGCCACCGTCTGCCCACATTGTTTTCATACATGGTGCTCTTCCTTGCTTCTGTAACGTGAGTTCACAGGGCTGACTGGAGAAAGGAAAAGCCTGGCTCTGCGTCTGAGTCAGTGCAGGCTCCCTCTGCTCGGATGTAAAGAGTTCAGTTTGGTGGCAGTGAAACTCTAACCGTGTTTTTCCTGCATTTATTCAGTTTTTGTTTTTTTTTGGTGTATGTCTAGCACTTGTGTCTGTGGCGGTATTGTACCTCGGCTGCTGTGGCCTCTGTTGCATGTAATTGTGTTTGAGGGGGAAGTCTTAGTCACAGGCTGACTTGAGCTTTGTTTACCCACATCTG